GCTTCATTTCTTCCTTTGCTGCTCTTTGGTCGATCCTACTAGACATTGACTTTATAAAATAAATGATTCATATATTACATACGTCATTCTCTATTTATTTATTCATATTACTGCGCAAGGTTCATATTCACAACTCTTTCCCTGTCAGTTCACAATAACACAGGGCAACACTCGATCTCTCCTTAGCCTAGGATTGAACAGTAGCTATAAGACACATAATCGAAAAGTTAAAATAGGAAAACTTCAATAATGAAAATGATCACAAACACTTTTCCAGTAAATGCACTGAAAATAAGATATCGTTAGCGTAGAAATAAATTATTGTTAAAGTAAGCATTCCTGGAGCATAAATCTAGACCTGAATGATAGGATTTGTTCATGTTTTAGAGTCTTTATGGTGTGGTTGAAATGCTACAGTCAAATGGAAATTCAGGGTTGAGGTGCGTGAAATAGCTCTGTTAATTACGCACATTCCAAAAATGCTGTCACATGCACACGATTGTAAAGCCTTCTTTGCTGGATTTCCCATATGCACATTAATTTTTGAGTATTTAAAGGCCATTAGTGGATTTTAAAATTGTACTTGTTTATTGTTTTGTTGTAATAAAAATTCTGACAATAACTACCAGTTAGCTAGAGAATAGTATGAAGATTAAGGTTATGTTTCATGGACTAGAAGAAGCTTTGTTTTCCCTTTAGTTATTTTATTCATAGGATAAAAGAAGCTGTTTATTCACTTTACTTGGAAGAAGACGTTATTAACTTGTGATTAATGCATCAAGGAATACATGTGTGAATAGAGCGATACCAAGGGATGTTAACTCTGTATTCTACCACTAGCGGAAGGAGTTACTAGATGGAAATGCTTTCCTTGATTTCTTCTCTTATTTACCCTGTGCTGTGAACTTTTCCCCAGCTGTGAAGTTGGAGGCACCACTTGAGAGACAGTTTTCAGCAATCCTTATGCTTTCAATACTGCTACTGGGTTGCAACAGAAGTCACCCTGGGATCAAGCCTACACTGTCCATCAGAGTATTTTAATCTGGAGGCCATGGATGGTCTAGGGCAATCTTTGAACCCTTTGAAATGATGTGCAAAATAACCTGTAGATGTGAAGTTTTCATTTGTTGTTCATAGAGTCTGTAGCCCCAGGCAAGTTGACTAAACAATACGCTAATAGTACTAATCCACTCCAGACAGACATTCTTTACACAGAGATGAATGTTGCTTAAATAGCCTTTCCTCTCCATTTCCCAAATGGCAGATATAAGAATTTCAGAAAGAAAATGTTTCCTTAGTTGATTTTAAGTACTTTTGAGAAAAATCCCAGATAGATAATTTTCTAGCTATAAAAATAAGCTAAGTACATTTGCATCCAAGTGGATTTAGCACTGTTCTTAATTCTTATCCAGTTCTTCCATTTTGATTTATCCAGCTGTGCACAGTAGGCACCCTTTTTTGTTTCCTTATTTAAGCCTCACATTAATGCTGTAAGGAAGGTAATATTGTTGCCACATTTTATAGATGAAAAATGGAGGCCAAGGGAAATTGAGAACTTGCCCAAGGCTTCGTGGCTAGTGAGTGGCAGAGCTGACATTCCAGCCTTAGAGTTGTGCCATAAAGCGCCAGGCCCT